CAACAAAAATTGGCAACACTGGTAGACGCTATTCTGCAGTTGATGAAGAGCTGCAATTTAAAGACGTAACTCTTAATCCAGCAACTGGGGAGAATTATGACCAGGATCAAAGTTAACTACGTCCGAAACGGAGTCCGCAATGGTAAAGATCACTTTTGACCAAAATCCAAATATCTTCATCTATGGCAAAATAGTGCCAGAGCTAGCCAAGTCGATTCTCGCAGTACAATACCTTAACGCACGGTGATAAAGCAAGAGACTAATGATATGACTTCCACTACTCCTAAAACAGTTTTCAATAGTATTATACAACTACTTGCTATATTATATATGTATAAGGTCGTAGATAATTGTAAAGGAGTAAATACACAGATTTGGATTAGAATTAATCTAAAAATCCCAGCCCGCGTACTCCTTGACTACATCTTTGTTTTCCTTACGATGGCGATGCACAGCACTCGCCTCTCCCTTCGCAACGCAACGCTTGCGCTGATCCCGCTTTTCCTTTACGTCCATGTTGCGACGTATGCGATCTGTAATCACAGAAGGAGCTATCGTGCTGGCTGTTGTGGAGTAGGAGCGCTGACTGCGTGCATCGTTAAGCATCTGCTCAACCATCTTAAGGCGGTACATGCGAGAATTGGGATCGAGGCCGGCCAGTTCTGGCATTTCATCCGTTTCCAAGTCGTTTGAACTGATGGACTGTGCATCATCAGCTAGAGCAGTTGCTTCTTTTTCATTTGAAGCAGAATCAGCTGTCTCTTTCACAACTTTATTAGATTCGCTCATGGGCGAGACCTGTGCGGGGGCAACAGATTTTGGTGTTGCTGCTAAAGCGTTATCGGATACCTCGGGACCGACAGTCAGATTGCCTAGGTATTGCGTGCACGACTCAATGTAACGCCGTATCGCATCGTCCGATTTCTGCTGCGTAGGCTTGCTCTCGCTGTAGGATACTTCGTTCTCCAATTGCCTGCGGCACTCATCTATCTCAGCGGCTGCAGCGGGCACCAGAGTTGGCGGCTCGTCGTTAGCCTCTTCTTCTTCATTTGGCATCTCTTCAATCATGCCGTACTCCTGTAGCAGATCCTGTTCCATTTCCTTGGTGAAGCCATAGCCTGTGCAATGGACCTCTGCGTCCAAGTCATCTTCACGCACCAAATCGCTGAATTTGGGATAATCCTCGCTTTCATAGCCAAACTTGCGACGGAACATCTCCCGCACGCACGTGACATCACGGTCAAAAAAGCTGTCAAGGGAAATACATTAGTATTGAATCAGATTATTTTCAGTCACATACAATTGAGCGTTCTCATGGGCAGTAGACATCATCTGAGGGAAATCAATAAGTATGGGCTTTCCGTCATCGGTGAGCATTAAGTTAAACTCATTAAAATCACCGTGAATGACGCCCGAATTGCCAAGACGCACGATGAGATTCATAAGGTCATCATAGACTTGCGACACATCCAGCAACTCATGCACCTGTGTCCTGTAGGAGAATGGCATTATAACTTGAATGGAAAACAGACTCAACTGACTTAATTTCTACTTACATGGGCCAACCGTTGACCAGCTCCATAAGAACGCAGTGCCGATTAAAGTCAATGGGCCTGGGCACAGGAAAGCCGCGATCATATAAGGCAGACATATAGGCGAACTCTCGTGTAGCAGAAATACGAGACAGGTAGAGCCAAGAGGCTTTGTGCCGGCGTCCATGATAGTCTCGCTTGGACTTAACATTGCGAAAACAGGTGCGTCCTAGGCGATGCAGCTTCAGGCAAATAGGTGTGCCCTCCTCATCGGCAACCACATATATGTTCGACTCTTTGCCAATGCCAATCTGGTTGCCAAAGGAGCTAACAGAGCCGCGCAACGTGAGAGACTTCAATGCGAGGTAGTCATAGCCAGTGTTAGTCAAGCGATATCCGTCATCTGCAAAATACAGCTTTTAGCAAAAAAAACATATATTCTTTTAACGTTTTGCCTACACTTCTTGCCACGCTCATAGGAGAGCAACTTGTGCTTGCAGAGTTCTTTCAGCAATTTATGTACGCCTCCAGTTTTAAGGTTGGCAATCGCAGCAGCTAGTGGTCCTGGAACCAATTCATGATTTTTCATGCCCATTTCGATGGCTGTGAGCACACGAAAATCTTCTCTGGTGAGATAGCGTAACACTGTCACATTTAATTTACCCATTCTTCTGTGGTTTTCAGCAAATTACGTTCATTAAATTTGTTTTGAGTCTTACACGTGCAGGTAAAACGATTACTGAGACCACTGTATCGATATTGGCAGTAATATCTATTTCGATAAGTACTCATAAGTCAAAAGTATCGTAGAGTTATGCATTATTTTTTGGTTGCCAATAGTCGGTCACACTTCGTCTGGTCGTCGTGTACAAAAATCAATTACTATTACTGCTGAAACTGGCTACGAAAAGCGCTACCGCGAGTAAACAAAACGCCAGTTAAACACAATTAGCAATAGAAGTTGTACGTGTTTTTGTTATAAAATTATCTTGAAGCACCATTCGCTCTCCGCTTGTGTTGGTTTGTGTGTGCGAGTATGTGTATGTATGTGAGAGCGGTCGCGTTAATATTGTACAAATGTGTGTGTGGCTGCGTATGACTCGTGCTTTTTGCCGACACAACAAAAAGAATAAATGCCAGAAAAGTGAGCAGTCAGCGGTCGCATTTACCATAACACGTTGTCATACATAAACCAAACGAAACGTGTAAAAACTGCCGCAAACTAATTTCCTACATTGTCATTGAAAATATAAGCAAAAATGCATCCTTGCCCGTGATCGCGTGTAACGTCCATGTTTGTGTGTATGTGTGTGAGCTTGCGTGCTTGTGTGTGTGAAGGTTGCATTCAAGTGCAACAAATTCAATTTAAACAAATAAAACAAAAATCTAAATCAAAATTTCCCCTCTCTTCTCTCCGATTCTCTATCGTTCACCACCATTCTCCCATCCGACGAAACGACACCTGTCAAGCAGTAAATTAACGGAGCAATACATTTGGGAAAATGCAGATCAAAGAATTGTAAGTAAATTTAAATATTTTTAAATTCATTTCTCGACTTTTATCTATGTATTTGTGGGTCCTTCACAAATCGCAAAACGTGTACAAGCCGCTGATTGTGATAAATCGATTTTACGCTCATTTACTCTCAGCTGCGACGCACTCGCTCTTTCTCTCTTGCACTCTCGCACTGCTGCTGCTGTTGCCGCGTTGCCAACCGCTCCAAAATTGCTTTAATTTATTAACTTTCTACTTTAAATTTGTGTTTTTGGACTCATTTTTATTTTTCTCGAGCAAATGTTGCCGTATCTACAAGAAAAAAAATTATTCCGCTTTCCACATTTATTTGTCATTGCTAAATTTTTGGTTGTTTACAATGACTTAGTCGATGACGTAATAAGCGTCGACGCTAACTTCGGCAATTGGATTTTGACTCAAATGAGCGCAGCTTTTTACTTATTTGTGTGTTATTTTCAATTATAACTTTTTTCGTAAGGCACTAAAATGTTAAAGTATGTGAAGCTTGCCACGTTAACAATGTTGCCGTTGGCGTTGTGAGTGCTGCAAAGTTTGCAATGCTTCTTTGCTTTTAATGTGTGTGACTCATTTTTGTCAAGCAACTTTCGCTCTCCCTCTCACTATCTCGCTCTCTCTATCGGCCGCTTTGCCTTTTCATTTTCGACTTCACTTTTGTGCAATTTTACGCGCCGGTTTTCCAGCTGCGTTATCAGTCGCTGCGCCAACAACAACAATAACAACAGCAACAACGTTTTAATCAAACAAGTTGGCAATAGTGATAACGCCGTCGCCTGTTCCTATTAGATATGTATGTGCATGTGTGCTACT